GCTCTTTTGAAATTTGGGTAAAAGAAAACCTATACAACCGTAAATATAGTCACTTTTGTATTTTTTCTATGTTGTGAAAACCAAAATTGTAATTTTATAAGTCTTTGATTCACTAAAATTATATAATTTAAATGTATTTTTTGTATATTTAGAAATAAGGAGTTCAAAGACTATGCTTAACTTTCTATGCATGCGTTTGGAAGCTGTTTTTACCTGGTACTGTTAATGTAGTACTAAGTTGTATTCATAAAACACTGATCTGCGTTGCATTTCAAAATAAACTGGTGTGTGCTCTGCCTGGATTTGAAATACTGAGTGACTCTAAAGATTTCCACATTCTTAATGGCCCGAATGTGGCATGCAGGGATGTGGAAGGCTTCCAGTTCTGTGATGGATTCCAGCTCTCTGCAATTATTTTAAAACCTATTTTTGTTATTCATAATGATGCTATCCTTAAAAAGAGGGAAAAGAGATTTTTAGTATTTACTCAATACACTTTTTCATATTTCTTTTTATGATTTAATTTATTAATTGTAACTAAGAATACCCCACATTATTCCCAAGGCACCTGATATCTCATTTCTAGTCTGATACAAGTAGGTGATATCATACAGCAAACGGATATCTTAAAAGGCTTGCATTGGAATTTTCTAATAAAAATTGAGAGAGGACAGACTGTTGCCCGTAAATGTTCATCTTGTATTAAAGTAAGATTTGGTGAAGTTCAAGTACAGCCTGAAAATGCCCTCCAAGTATGGAACAGTTCCTGGGGAGTGCTTTACCCACTGTGAAGTTCATAGGGAGAAGTCGGAAAAGGACGCAGGCTTTGGATACTCAGCTGGGCCACTTCTGACCTCCTGGCTATGACCCTCCAGGTTGTTCAGCACAGAGTGAACACGTGGGCTCTTTCTAGTTCCTCTGTAGAGGCTGCCCAGCAAACACAACCTTTACAATCTCAGGGCGTAATGAGAAGCTGGGGCTTTCTAATTTGTCATTGTCATATTTTGTGGCAATTATGTGTACTATGTTAACATAAGCCCTAGCCTGGAGGAATTACCAGTGGTATAATTAAGAGACATACTGTTACACACAGCATTCCAAAAATACTGCTGTATTGTTCCCCTTTAACTAGAATGAAGAGTAGTTCTGCGATTCCTCATTTATGAAAGGCGAGGTGGGGGGAGAATCCTGGCCTCACAAATAGCCTGACTCATTGTCATACAGTTTAATAGTGAAGAAACTGTTCTAAGTGACTATTACCAAAAATAGCTATACCTATTAACATTCCCCTGCTGACAGTTGAGAACCAGAGTTAGATAAGAATGCTGTGTGGGTTTTGATCAAGTTTATTCTAAACATTGCTTTATTTGCATATCGCAAAGGACACATCTTAGTGCCATAAGGGCAAGTCTCATTACCAAAATTTTCATTATTTCACACAAAAGGTGGTCCACTTGAAGTCTCACATTGTTAGCAAAAAATAATTGCATGTGAAAGGTTGTGAACATTCGTCCATTTCGCAAATCCTTTTTTCTTAAGGAGAATTGTGTTTTCTGCGTACTAATTCCAGAGCTTGGACTCATTCCCGTGGCTCATCTTCGCCTTGCCCCTACGTTGCATGCAATCCGGAAACAGTTCGCAGACGCTGAATTTGGTTCAAGCCAGGAACGCCTTTTCTGCATTAGTGTTGTCATGGCCGGGCTTCCCCGCTTGGGGGCAGCACCTCACAAGCGATGCGAGACACCGAGCGTGAAAAGCATGTGGGAAATCGCTTCAGTCCAAGAACTGAAGGGCAAAAAGGCACATTAATAAAGATTAGTCAAGACTCGTATTCGCTATATAAAGCAAAGTCTGGCAGATTTTAAAGCATAGGCTGCAGGAATGCAGGACATAGCACTTTTAAAGCAGAGAAACCAACTTGGGTATTTGCCCTGTGTCCCCATCTCAGATCCTGCAGACAGGGCTTGGTTTTCAAACAGTCTGCAGCTGGGTCATCCAGCAGGTGTTAGCACTCCCAGTTAATGGGGAGTTTGCTTGTTAATGTTTGCAACATTACCAGAGGTCAGGTCCCACTCTTATTCTGTCTCCGGATATTTTTAGCAGATGGCCTGAGCCATGAGAAAATGTCAGGCCACCTTATAAGGCTGTGTCTGG